ACAAAGAAGTATTCTATCACTCACATGTGTGTGAAAAAATGTATCCCAGCTTTTGAATTTCTGATATCCTCTCATTTTTCTGTAATATAGCGTTGCCTACTTCTCTCAGGCAAATGCCCTTTATCTTGTTGGACTGTAATTCACAATACCTCCAAGCAAGCATGGCCATAAAACCACCATATCTCAAGAATACTGGTTTGGGAAAGGCTGATACAAGCCATTAATACAGAGAAGATACTAGATCTTTCTGAAGAGAAGTCAGCCTGTGTAAGTTTACAGTAGAGTCTCCTACATATTAAATGAAAGTCCTATAAAATTCAGTAGGATTTATTGGACAAGTCTTAATTATTCTGCAAGTACCTTAAATAGGAAAATGGAACTGAAACTGGAAGCTTTAAGAAGACACAAAGGTTACAGAAACATTCTTCAGACAAACACCAGGACTATAATCCTGTAACTACACAAAACTATTTGCAATAAAAAAAAAAAGCTATGAAACCAGGTTTCTCTTGGCTGGGGTATTTCTGCACAAGACTTACCTAATCTCACAAAGTTGGCTGGTTTTGTGAGCTGCATTGGTTTATTTTGGGCTCTGTGCCACTTTATTTGGAGCAAAGTTGTTTTCCTTTGGATTGCTGTAACTTTGCAGAGATTGGGGGTCATCTATTTTCCTGGGGTGAAAGCCCAGGCTTAGGTTTTCTTCCTTATCAAATAGGCTCTATATTAATATATAAAGAGTTTTGAAACATTTCCACTTGCATATAAGTCATAGGACACCAAATGTATTACAAATAATGTTTGTATTTCAGGACAGAACTTCATCTCTCTCTCTCTCTCTCTGCTTATACAAACTCCAAGGAAATAGGGAATACAGTAAGTAGTTGAAAAACTCCTTTCAACTGAGAAATGGATTATTCTCAAATGGCAGCAAAGCACTCAGTTAACAAAATATTATCACTGTGATATTTCCTCCTTCCAATAGCATAGCCAGGCTCTAATCAAAACCACCTTGCTCAAGACAATACATGCCTATAGGAAACTGACTGTCAGTTGGAAAAGAAAAATGGTTAATGTGGGAAGGAATGAAATGCCCGAGAGCAGAACTAGGCAATTTGACATTCCTCCAGCTGGATTTAAATTCCCAGCAGGCTCTGGGTGCTAAGGGCAAGGGATTCTGGGAACTACAGATAAAAGTAGAGGTGGTCATCATATTATTTATCTGTGTTTGATCTGAATCCTGCTCTTTTTATACAAGAGCACAATATGCTGTAATGTTTTGTTGCAGAATACAGAAAGCTGATAAATGATCCCATTCAACAATTTCCATGCAATGATTTCCATGCAAGATTTTTGGTATAGTGACAACATTCCAATGACATTCAAATATTTGCACTGGAAAGTTATACTGAATGGCTGTGCAATTGCTGCATGATGGAGAAATACAGGGATATTATTTAACAACATGCCCCATTTCTTGCTAAAGAGCTATTTCCCTATTACTTCAAAAACATACTTTGCTTTGCCACAGATGTTGCTCTTCTGTGCTAAACTGGAAAGAGAATAGCCAATTGTAAATTGATTTTGTTGGAAAAATGGCAAAATAATGCCCCAAATGCTTGTTGCTATTTAATACAATTATATTCACAATGCTTACCTTTAAGTTTTTTCTTAGACCCCCCCCGCTTTTTTTTTTTAAGTCAATTTTTAATCGCTTGATCCTAATATCTTGCACTTCTCAATACACTGTAAAGAACAGTTGTCTAAACTCTGGCCCATTCCTCCAAACAGATATATCAGAATGGTATTTTAAGAAAGAACTCCACATGAAAAAGGCAGAGGTTTCCACACAGACACACAGCAAAAGTCCATTTAATAGGAATGCTTTGGAGGATCCATATATGCTGGGTTATAAGGCGGTTGAACTACAGGAGCTCCAGCACCAGCTGTAAAACAAACAAACAAGCATAGCATGTTAGTGCTTTTCCACAGATTAACTTTTTATATTTATTTGTGCATATTTCTTAGATTTTCATTACAAGTGCCAAAGCCCATATACTTATGAAATCAAGGAGGATCTCTAGCTTAATCAGTAAGATCTGAAAATTAGATTGCACAATGAAGCGTATTAAAGCATATTAACAATTCATTCTCTTTAAAGGAGAGCACATTTAAAAAGGAATGAACTGAATATTCAAGAACTCTGAAAGCAAATCCTCATCTCTGGTCTTCTGATTTAGCTATTTCAGTGTTGTTGTTGTTTACCTTCTTGTCCCTGGGGACCCTTTGTTTTTCTGTCACAGAAAACAATACAAACATGTTGCATGGAGTGCTCTGAAAGATGTCTGTGTGGGAGCCTTATTCCTATACTGGGAAAAGAAGCTTGCCCTGGTGGACCAAAGTGTCCCCCGAGTAGATCTCCATCCCTATTGATTACTGAATTGGTTATCTGTTGCTAGTAGAACAGCACTCCTTCTATACCTGAAATGTTTAGGCTGTTCCTTCCTTCTTCTCCATAACATTTCTATTACTCTATGAAGATTTATAGGTAATGTGGTTTCTCTCTGGCTGCCTGATAAATGTTGTGTGGGAAATGGCATTGCTAGGTTTCTGTAAATCCTTGAAAGGACTGAAGTTCAAGCAAAGCACCTCCTTGAAGATGTTTTATGAAGCAAAGCTTGCTCTATGGGAGAAGACTGAGAGAAATCATCTTCTGCAGTGCTCGCCAAAATCCTTCTAGACTGGGATGTCTCAGCAAACATTGTAGGCAAGGCTGCAGAACACGCCAAACCAATCCTGTAGTATGTATCAAAGCAGCCTGCCCTGAAGCCCCCTTCCCATAAATCAAAGATCTTCGAGGCAGAGCGGCTTCAGTGCCTGCTGAATTCTGCAGCCCGTGCTGAAGTCATCCAACTTGGAAGCATTTTGGCCAGTACTGAGGGAGATGTTTAAGAGGAAATTTCTACCACAGCATGGCTGCTCAACTGCTCAACCATGTTCTTTAGGAAATTGACTACTTGTATCATGTCACCAGTGGAATCAAACCATCAGTAAGAAAGGGATTTCAACCAGATAGCCTTAGAAGATTTTACAGAGAAATCATGGCTTGTTTGTATTAAGGAAGCCAAATTCCCCAAGATAGCAACCATGAATAATTTATAATTTGTAGTTGGACATATTTTGAAAAGGAAGACTACTATGAGTGAGAGAAAAACTTGCCTAAATATATTACCACTACCACATGTCCATTTCCTTTTTCTTTTTAGCAGTTTCAGCACATCTTTCCCCTCTTCTTTTCTTACCTGCCACTGTTTCATGATATGGCGGTGGCCCTGCAGGCTGCATAGGATAGGGCGGAGGGTGCTGGGTTGGGTAGGGTGCCACTGGCATTCTGGGCTGGGGCTGCACCGGCAGCGGATTGTATCCTTGGTATGCTCCTCCGGGATAAACAGCTGGTGTCCCAGGCTGTTGAGGGTAGGGCATCTGCACTACAGTTGTAGCTGTGGTCACAACAGCTGTAAAACACGACAGTGTTTAGGAAAGAATCAGGGCAGGAATGTGGTCACTAGGAGTCAGGGCATCTATGTGGTCACTAGGAGTCGAAAATGACTTGATGGCACATAATAAATCAATCAATCAATCAGGGCAGGAAGGAAACCCAACATTTCCCCTCTCCTATCTTGTACTGGTTTTAATTACTTGGCCACTGTTTTTCAAATAACTTTCAAGCACTTTCACTTTAGAGACTTCCTACCACAAGCCTGAGGTAGAAAAGGAAACTTAGCCTTCCTCCCACCAGAAATGTTACTTCTGATAAAAGGCACAGCAAAAGAACATGTCTGATTTTCTGATATCTTGTGTCCTATGTCTGGTGACTTGCCCAGATACTTAAAAACTGTAAGCCAATCTTTTCAACTTCATTCAGGCATGTCAAGACTACAATGCCAAGAACTCCCTGCAAGCATGATCACTGCAATCTCCCAGCTCCTGGTGATTTCTGAGAATTATAGTTCCAGGTTAAATAAGGTCACATGGCACAATAAGGCTGAATTCCCTTAAGTTTGTCACATGTGCAGGGAACCAATGAAGCAGCATCTCTGGCGATTGAGGTAACTGTTCGTTCCTGGTTCAGCCTCCGATCTAATGCTAGTTACACTTTCAACAACTGACTTCACCTATTTTAAAGGCAACGTTTCTGGAAGGCATTCTGCCGTGACAACTTTTTTTCCCCAGCATGCTTGACAGCATCACTCGTGTTTTTCCTCAAACAAAGCAACAATTCAGTCAGGGAGGACACTTACGCTGTGGTCTCCTTCGGCAGGCTTTATACAGGCAGCAACATGAGCAGGTGAAGCAGAGAATGATGGCTACTACAAACAGGATGAAAATTGAAACGCCAATCGCTATAACTGTCCCACTGAAAAAACATTGAAAATGCAGTTGTCCAAGTTAAAGGCTTCAGAAAGTAACACATTTACACCCAAGAGCATTTTGCTATTCTAAATGCAAACAAAAATGGAAACCATGTTCGGTTAGGATTGAAATATAGATTTGCTCATGGTTAAACTCAATCTCCTCAAACTTTCAGAGGGGTAGTTTTGTTAATTTACCACCAAGGGAAGTAAAAAAAAAAAGAGCCTGAGGGTACAACAGAAGTTTCACCTCTTTTAAAAGTGTACCACGCAGATATGATGCATGAAAAAAGAGGTCTTTTCTGCACAGTCACATCCACCATTCTTTTTTTATACCCCCCCATCACCCCATCTACTGCTACATCAACCAAGAACCTTGACACACCCAGATGTTGCAGACTACAAGCATGATCAGCTCCAGCCACTGCACAGGGATTACAGGATGCACTGTCCTAAACAACTGGATGGAACAAGATGCCTGCCTCAGCTATGAGGTTTCCCAGAATAAGCCTTACTGTGTCTGCGTAGACCAGTGTTTCTCAATCTTGGGAACTTAAGTTGTGTGGACTTCAACTCCACACTGGCTGGGGAATTCTGAGAGTTGAAGTCCACACATCTAAAGTTCCCAAGGTTGAGAAACACTGGTCTACAGAGATACATTTATTATTTCAAATCTAGACAATATTTTTTTTTCAGGGTGCCATAAAACCCTTGGTTAGTTTTAGTCAATTATGCTAACTTTACAGAAAGCAATTATAAAGAAGGAAATAAAGAATTTCATTTAAAGGTGGTTATATGCATGACCAACTTTTTTAAAAAAAGACAACAGAAGCTTGTTATGATTCAGAAATGCTTATTCACAAGGCAATATTTATGACTTCTCTTTACAAAGGATAACTGCATTCCAGCGAACTGTAAACTCAACACACAAATAAAATCTAATGATTTTTTCATGACATTAGTCTTCAATTTACTATACTGGTGCATGCTTTTATTTTGAACCTTGTGTTTGGTGGGTAAATTAAACGCTCTAATCGCTTTCCTTATCTTTTGCTGTTGCTCAGCCTTCATGCATTTTGCACCCAGACCAAATCATTCCCCACTGTCCTTTTCACAGGCTGACTGCTCCCATGCTGACTTGGCTCATGTTCACTTGACCTCTTAACTTCTGATGCTGTTACCTCTGGTAATGTAGTCTGCTGGCAACTGAATCTGGCAAATGTCAGCCCTTCAAGGTGAGCAAGGTCAAGGAACAGACATGGCAGGGATTCCAGGAATGCTCTTTCACTGTTGGGGAGTATATTAACAGAATCTGGAAAGCTCGTCCAGAACTTTCATTGCCCTTTTTTTAAGGACAAGACAGTCAAGACAGGGCTATACTGAGTCTCTTTGACACACTTTCTACTTTCCTAGGGCTAAGCAATCATTGTCCAACTCCATCTTCCTCCTCAAGACCAGAGCTAAATTCCTATGTACCAATTTGCTGTGCAAAATGTCTGCATATGTTTTTTGCAGTGCTGAACAAATCCTTCAGAAAGGACAGCTGGTATTTTATAAAATCATAATCAACCGTGAAGAGTAAGACTAATGGCTGAAAATTTAGAGGCTTGGCTTTTTATTCCATAGTTGTATAACTTGGTATAAATGGCTTTTAAGTGTGACATTGGTTTGCAAGTACAGTAGGTATTTCTTGGGGATCGTGGTTCCCCAAAATCTCATTTCCCCATATTCTGTTCTCTCAACACAAATAATATTGCTATAACATTACTTTTTTAAAAATCCAGATGTGATTGCTAATCTCACAATAAGTAACAATTTAACATGGTCCTCACTCTATGTCTGATGCATGTTTGATATTCTTTATTCCCTAGGAACAATATTCATCCTGCCAACTCTAGATGATACTGGGAAATTTCCTGGAATACAAACTAGTTCCAAATGATTTGTGTGATCAGGAAAGATCCTTATGGCTATCCCACACAGGTTTTCATAAGTAAACCAATAATTTAATTTTTCAATTTCCATTCTATTGTAAATTGAGGAGTAGTGAAAGTAAATACCTTCATACGTACAATGCAGAGACAATGGGGAATATGGTGGATGATAAAGATCTTGTCATGGTCAATCTGCATGGTATATCAGACTAAAATGGTAAAGACCCAGCCAAGTCAATGTGGTGAGTTAATGGTTAATTTTATATGGAATGGTCAAACACCAAAGAGGCCTCCTTTAAAGCTACAGCTCTCATAGGATGGGAGTACTTTCAATTCTCCAGATTTTAAACTGCCTCATATGACCAACTGCTTCAGATCAGTAACAATCCGTAACAAGTAATGGCACAAAAATGTTAACACTAGTAACGCTATTAGAATGAAAATCAGAGTTATTCTTTTGTGCCTAACTGGTACCCTTGAAATCTTAGGAAATACTTGGTACCAACTATAGTAGGAATTTGGTGCTATTGCCAACCTTTAAGGCGATTAGACATATTTTGACATTATTGGGCAAGAAATTAAAATGTGAGATAATGATCTAGAATAAGCCCTATTTAAAATAGCAAGAAAAACATTTGTGGTGGTGGTGGTGGTGAATATGTGGGGATAGTTATACTGTATTTTTCCATCAATAAGATGCCCCCATGTACAAGACGACCCCCACTTTTCCAACCCAAAATTAAGAAATCAATATTTTAAAGATAG